CGAAACGATTTTTTTTTCCTGTGAACTCACTTTTCCTTTGTAGAATCTCTAGCCATTGTACTTTTGAAAAGGCACTATCCTTCAGCCCGATTCCTCCAAACACTACCACAAACTCTTTTATCATCGCTGATCAGCTCACCTTTTCCTCCATTCCGTAGCTCATTACACTAGATTAGTTAGTCCATGATAAGCCCTACATAACGCTTAACCGTAGTTTCACCTTATCAATAAAATTTACTTAAAACCATCTCCAAAACTTTACTCTTTTGTTTTCAGGTACAGGAGGTTCATCACATTGTGGATCTATGCTGTGCGTTTCGACTGAGATAGTCTAACGCTCGTTTTTAAAGTAGTCTACTTGTAGTATGAGGGTGCTCAAATTACGCAAGAAAGATGCATTTTGATGTCGAATGGGTTCATGAACCCTACAATAAGCCTTAAAAAAGCGACTGATTGGAGTGGTATGTACCAAAAAAGGGAGCTTATCCAAGGAAACCAGGCGTTCTTGGTATCATGCAATAGATGAGAAGTACGTCCATATCCCTGTCAAATTTGAACGCAGGTTGTCCATTCAGTTTGGGAGAAAAAAGAGAAACAAAACTTTTTCCAAAGGGTTGGCTCAACGCTTTTTTTTTTGTAAAGAATGATTTATTTCTCAGAACTGAGATGGACAACCTGCGTTCAAATTTGACATGTATATGGACGTGCTTTGTATCTATTGCATGATACCAAGAAACATGTATTTGGATGTCGAACGGGTCCATGAACGCTACAATAAGCCCTAAAAAAGTGACCGATTGGAGTGGTATGTACCAAAAAAGGGAGCTTATCCAAGGAAACCAGGCGTTCTTGGTATCATGCAATAGATGCGAAGTACGTCCACATCCTTGTCAAATTTGAACGCAGGTTGTCCATTCAGTTTGGGAGAAAAAAGAGAAACAAAACTTTTTCCAAAGGGATGGCTCAACTTTTTTTTTTTGTGAAGAATGGCTTATTTCTCAGAACTGAGATGGACAACCTGCGTTCAAATTTGACATGTATATGGACGTGCTTTGTGTCTATTGCATGATACCAAGAAACATGCATTTGGATGTCGAACGGGTCCATGAACGCTACAATAAGCCCTAAATAAGTGACCGATTGGAGTGGTACGTACCAAAATAGGGAGCTTATTCAAGGAAACCAGGCGTTCTTGGTATCATGCAATAGATGCAAAGTACGTCCACATCCTTGTCAAATTTGAACTAGGTTGTCCATTCAGTTTGGGAGAAAAAAGAGAAATCAAACTTTTTCCAAAGGGATGGCTCAACTTTTTTTTTTGTGAAGAATGGCTTATTTCTCAGAACTGAGATGGACAACCTGCGTTCAAATTTGACACGGATATGGACGTGCTTTGTGTCTATTGCATGATACCAAAAAACATGCATCTGGATGTCGAACGGGTCCATGAACGCCACAATAAGCCTTGAAAAAGCAACCGGTTGGAGTGGTACGTACCACTTACAGACATTTTCATAGATTGGGTAGATTGGCGGATGTAGGACATGAGCTCTTTGTCTATACTTGATCAGGGTGATATGGCTTGCTTGGATGTGTAGAGCAATTGGATTATTTTTTAGTAGGATAAGCTTGTCAAAGGAAGATATAACATGGCGCCAGAGGAAGTGTGGAAGTGGATCGGATGTAAGAATGTGCCTGCTGCCAGTTGACAACAGTCGGGTGTATAAAACTAATGTTGGTGGGAACGAACCACGTTTAGGGAGCAGTTCAGTCACCTTTTATAAACACTCCGTTCTTCAGGTACCATTCTATTTGGGCGTTCAGTTCTGCCCACAAGGGCATTTGAATTTCCGACTCTTTTTTGACTTGGTCACAAGCTTATTTTGAAGATCCGACTTTTTTTTGGACCTGCCCATATGGACCTGCCCCTAGAATTCGGGGATTGCTACAGACAGAACCATCGGAACAGAACCAATCTGAAGACAACAAGGACTGATATGGCGTGGGACTCTCTGAGTCCCTGACTTGAGTCCCGGGCATAGCTGGGACTCAATTCGAAATGAAGATAAAACCGCCCCGCCAGGCACAGGAATGGCCTTACTTTTCTCATCGGGAAACGATCGGCATGGCCCTCTCTTCTCCTGGTCACAGGTCCAACAAAACACCCATGTCAATTGCGGCTCATCAGCTCGTATGGCGGGTAACGTGTGTGCGAACGTGGATCGAATACGACGCCAAGGCCGATGGAACAGCACAGCGATAAACGGTGCATATCTCACCAACCTTCCAAGAGAATCAGTGCGATCAATGGCAGGCTTTCCCACATATGGTCGATTCTTTTATATTGCACGTGCCGCCCTTGACCCGTGGCGAAAGAACTCAGTCCTGGCAATCCCATTCAGCCTACCGTCGCTGAAAATGCATTTGTACAGGTGATCATGATGCTCAGGAAGACTTTTATACAAGACTCGGTGCTCATGATGGATTTCCACCCCTGCTATCCCATTTGGCAACATTCAATCTTCTCTGATCTAGCCTATTTGTCATTCAAAAGGTAAGTCCACACCATAGCATGAGAATGTAGTAGCATGGTCGCTTTGATATGGTAGAGATATGCTGCAAATTGAAGCTCAGGAACACGATCCTGCCCTCACACTCCTCCAACAATGTGTGCCTCTGCACTCTAGATTTCAAACCCCGATTGGCCATAAGGTTAGTTTTTTTGCCCGTCCTATTATTTTGCTCCTTCTTCCCCTCGTCATTACTTTTTTGCCTCCATTGTCATTCTCTTTACTCCACGACGTCAAACGAACGAACGAACGAAC